GAGAGAGAGAGAAAAAAAAGGAAGTTATAACATCCAAAATGTTCCTAACATAAAAAATTAAGTTGCCACCTCCTACCTCTTATAAACCATCACCTTTTCCTTCTTTATCCTCGTGTAATAAAGGAAAGGCTGAGAAAAAAATAAAGAAAAAAGAACTATTGTCACTTGTTTTTTGATTCCCTTTATCCTAAAGTAAATTGAAAATTTCTTTTCTTTTAAGAGCAGCTAATTGTTTCACGATTTTTCCCATCTAGTATGCTAACACAAACATTTTGCAGATGTGTAAATCACTGAGGGACTGGAATGAGTCGGTAAATAATTCTGCGGCCTTACAAAATTGACTAGAAAAAAATGTTTTCTTATTAAAGGAAGAATTTGCATTAAGCCTGGCGAAAGCAAAAAATTATATTGTCTTTGTATAATTCGATCTACAGTTTTCATTCTACAGAATTTCGCAGAACAGAGTTAGAAGAAATAGGTAAAAAGAAGAAGTAAAGGTAGAAAAGGCTTTCTTCTTTCCACCGACGTGGAGAAATAAGATGGGGCCACCAGCTTAAAAGAGCCCTAAAAATTGTGCCTCTTCCCAAGAAGTTCACGAAATTAAAACAGGTGAGTAACTGTACTGAGAAGTGAGATAATAAAGTTAGTCACTTCTCTTGTTTTTTACGCAAGCGCCTTCTTAAAGGTTAATTGCTAGAGCGTCTTAGCTTTAAGCCTTTCAATCTAATTTTATATGGCCTTATTGAAAAACTCACTATATTATGGTTTTGAAAATTTTGGTTTTTATATTTGTACCACTTCATTGAGGATACGGTGTCTAATAAAGAGTAAATGACTTAAACGAATTCTTTGTTAGTTATCGTAGACCGCTCAGAATTTACAAGTTTCGTTCAAAATAAAAATTTTTTTTATTTCTTCCAATCTCTTCAAAATTATTTAGAAGAAGAATTTTTTAAAACTTCAGTTATGACTTTTCAAATGATACACAGCCGCTTATGACGAGACTCATAAATATTATGAAGACAGTATAATGATTATTTGAACATTCATGCCAAGTTTTAGATTACTTAATTCTATTTTTATGCAGGTTTACCCAGGTTTTTTTTCGTTGCTGTTTAAGTATATCGAAGCAACTTTGTGCATTTTCAAATGGTAACAAACACCGTTGCTACAAACAGGGCAAACGAAAGGGCAAACCAAGCTAGGTAAACTTTTAAAAGAAAAATGTTTTTTCACCTAGATGACTAACTTAGCTTCCTTTTTTCATTTGAAACTTTTGAGAATTTTGGTATATACATTCCTGCAAAAAAATAGAGCAGATCACTGTCTAAATAATTATTAGAATGTTATATAGTTTATACTTCCTGCCAAAAAGTCCAATATTAATCGTTTATCGCAACAGATATATTCATAATACGAAACTGGTGTGCATTTTGAACAAACACCAGGTTGCTGACGAGGAGCAAAGTGCTGTCCCGCTCCAGAATTATCCTGAATTAGCAAATGATGATTGATAGCGGTGAGATCTGTAGAAATTTTGCTTAACGCTGTATTTGTTACGCTACACTAGCTTTTTAAAAGTTTGGCTGAGACTTTTATTAGCTAAATTTTAGCTAAGTATGATAGTTGCAGTCGAAACGTAAAATACCTGTTAAAGTACAGGCTCAAACGTAAGGTTTTCTAACATATGTAGAGTAATGTTTACCTTTTTAAACCATATTTCACTTACGTTAAAGGATTACTAGGCCATTTAAAAACAAATGCACGATTTTTATTCAGTCAATATCGTCGTACTTTTTTAAAAGGTATATTAACAGTAATAACTTGATTTACAAATCAACAATTTACTTTCTCAAATAAAGACACAGAAACAGTTTTCTTTTTCAAGTTTTTAAACGAAGCTTTAAATAGCGATTACCATGCACTTTTTCAAATAAAACAAAGGAGAAAATGTTTGTAGACTACAGGAAGAAATAATGCTAGTTTTTAAAAAGCTGACTAGCGAATCTGCAATTATCTGACGGTTGCAGAGTTCTAAGAGTAGAAATAAGCCTCAGAAGTTAAAGCTAGTTAGTTGCTGAAAAAATAAAGCTGAGAAAGAAAAAACTAAATAATTTAAAGTTTATAAAACAGGAGAATAAATTAAAGGTTTGAACAGCGTAATGACAAAGCATTGGAACACAGTGACTAAAGCAAAATTTAAAAAATTATGCACTCATTGAAACACAGAACAACATTTTTTCG